CAGATGATAGAAGGTGTACGTGTGACATTAAATCTAGGATTGCCATGGAAAAAGCTGCATTTAGCAAGAAGAATCTTTTTACCAGCAAATTGGACTTAAATTTGAGAAGGAAACTAGTGAAATGCTACATTTCGAGCATTGCTTTGTATGGGGCTGAAACTTGAACACTTAGGACAGTAGATCAGAAACACCTGGAAAGCTTCGAAGTGTGGTGTTGGAGAAGGATGGAGAAGATCAGTTGGTCCGATTATGTGAGAAATGAAGAAGTGTTATTTAGAGTCAGTGAGCAGAGGAATATCCTACACAAAATAAGAAAACAGAAGGCTAATTGGACTGGTCATATCTTATGCGGTAACTGCCTTCTAAAATAAGTTATTGAAGGAAAGATAGAGGAGTGGATAGAAGTGACCAGAAGACGAGGAAGAAGATGTAAGAAGATGCTGGATGGCCTTGGGGACAGATGAGGATATTTTCACTTGAAGGAGGAAGATCTAGATCGCATCAAGTGGAGGAACTGTTTTGGAAGAGACTGTTGACCTGTCGTCTTGACAGATTACAGATGAATGAATGAATGAATGAATGAACTAGCCCTAACAGGGGGGCACGCAGTAGCGTAGTTGGTTGAGGCACTATGCTACAAGCCGGAAGATCGCAGGTTCAAGTCCCAATGAGGTCGCTGGATTCTTTTTTTCAATTGACCTAATCCTTCCAGCTGCACTATGGCCCTGGGGTCAATTCAGCCTCCAACAGAAATGAGTACGAGGAATATTCTTGGGGTTAAAGGGCGGCCGACGTGTAGGGCTGGCAACTTTGCTGCCATCTATTAGCAGATTGTCTAGAAAATGTGGGAAACTTAACATCTCACAACCCTATGAGCCTCCACGGCCTGTTGCAGGGATACCTTTACTTTACTAGCCCTAACAGAAACTATTCCAATTTAAAACAACTGGTCACCATTACAAAGACGTACAGTCTTTTTAGAATCGTTAAATCTCATGTGCTAGGCTTTTATATCCTATGTAGGTAAAAAATGTAATTTGCTGCTGTATTGCATTTATCTAGTGGAATGCTTAAAAATTAGTATGTGTCTGACTTCATCTGGTAACCTTCCAAAAATAGGCCAGGCAGTTACGACATATCAAACTCGCTCCGTGGGCAATGTGTTCAAGTAGAAAGACACAATTAATTGCAACACAAGCTGGCAAAATATTTTGTGTGAACACTTGTAACCTTTACAATTGATAATACAGCACACAAATCGGGTCCTTGAAACCTAGTACGAAATTACGCGCATGCACATTAATGACTATAAACATTATAGGTTATAAGTGTACTTGTTTTCATTCCGAGAAACAAAAGTGAAATAAAAAACACTGGCAATACGGCAGGTTCTTACCCCTATTTATCTGTGAAACTCCTACAGTAGTACTGGCATAATCTACACAATAAAAACTATAATTACAGAAGTAAAATTTGTAATGATTATATTTACATGCTTCAAACATTGTATCTTGAACTTACAGAACTCCTCTTGGCAGCAGCGAAACCATTTCGCTAACTCTCTGCCCTTACTCGAGCGAACAGCTGCTTTACTGGAACAACTAGCACCGTTTTCACCAGCGGGTGGCAACTCAATGCTATTGGCGGGCAACACAGCCAGCGTGACGTCATGAAGCATCACTGCTGCCGCAGTGGCCAGCTGCAATTCTCACTATAAAAAAAACTGCAGCCAGTGCCGAGGGCTCGGTCGGTAAGAAGGTATGCTATCATACCACCTACCCTGTCGGTAAGAAAGCATGCTATTATACCACCAGCATTTTTTTTACTGCTCCCTCCCAAAAAATCACTGGTTCACACATATAGCTAAATTAATAATCTGATGTAAATGAAA